GGGGGGGGGGCCGCGGGGGTTTGGGGGTGGGCAAAGGTATAAGAAACCTGCTTGTGAAAAATTGCTTTTTCTGTCCTACCTTAGTAGACACCGGCAACAACATAAGAGACCAAGTTAAAGGTATCGTGGTGAGACTTCAGCCAACCAACCATGACTGCGGGAATTTTAACCGCCCGGAGGGGATAGGAGGCACAAAGGGGGGGGGGGGAAGGGGGAGGGTGGGAGTAAAGCGTTGATGAAGTGGTTTATCATTTTTTAATGACCTCATTTGTCGGAAGAACTTTTGAAGTTTTGAAAACATTAAAATAAAAATGTAGAAAGCACGGGAGAAGTGTGATACGGGCTCGGTATGGTAGAGTCCGCTATACATCGCCAGGAATGGGTCATGGTCTTTTCAACGTAGTTAGCCGACCGATGGATGGTTGTGTTAGATGATTATGGTAATTGGTAATGTGAGCTGGTTATGTGGAGGTGGTTATGTTAGATGGTTGTGTTAGATGGTTATGTTAGATGTTTATGTTAGATGATTATGTCAAATGGTAATTTTAGATGGTTGTGTGATATGGTTATGTGAGATGGTTATGTTAGATGGCTATGTTAGATGGTACTGTTAGATGGTTATGTTAGATGGTACTGTTAGATGGTTATGATAGATTGTTATTTTAGTTGGTTATGTTAGATGGTTGTGTTAGATGGTTATGTTAAATGGTAATGTGAGATGGTTATGTGAGTTGGTTGTGTTCGATGGTACTGTTAGATGGTTATGTTAGATGGTTATTTTAGTAGGTTATGTTAGATGGTTATGTTAGATGGTTATTTTAGATGTTTATGTTAGATGATTATGTTAAATGGTAATGTGAGATGGTTATGTGAGATGGTTATGTTAGATAGTACTGTTAGATGGTTATGTTAGGTGGTACTGTTTGAGGGTTATGTTAGATGGTTATTTTAGTTGGTTATGTTAGATGGTTGTGATAGATGGTTATGCTAAATGGTAATGTGAGATGGTTATGTGAGGTGTTTGTGTTATATTGTTTATAGGAGGTAGTTATGTTAGATGGTTGTGTTAGATGGTTATGTTAGATGGTTATGCTAGATGGTTATGTTAGATGATTATGTTAAATGATAATTTTAGAGGGTTATGTGAGGTGGTTATGTTTGATGGTTGTGTTAGATGGTTATGTTAGATGGTTATGCTAGATGGTTATTCTAGATGGTTATGTTAGATGGTTATTTTAGATGGTTATGCTAGATGATTATGTTAAAGGGTAATGTTAGATGGTTATGTTAGATGGTTATTTTAGGTGGTTGAGTTAGATGGTAATGTAAGTAGGTTATATTAGATGGTTATGTAAGATGATTATGTTAGATGGTTATGTTAGATCGTTGTTTTAGATGTTATCTTAGATGATTGTGTTCGATGGTGATGTTAGATGGTTATGTTACTTGGTTATGTTAGATGGCTATGTTAGAAGATTATGTTAAATGGTAATGTTAGAGGGTTATGTGAGCTGGTTATCTTAGGTGGTTATGTTAGATGGTTATTTTAGGTGGTTGAGTTAGATGGTAATGTAAGTAGGTTATATTAGATGGTTATGTAAGATGATTATGTTAGATGTTTATGTTAGATCGTTGTATTAGATGGTAATCTTAGATGGTTGTGTTCGATGGTGATGTTAGATGGTTATGTTTGATGGGTATATTAATGGTTATGTTAGATTGTTATGTTAGATGATTATGTTAAGTGGTTATGTTAGATGGTTATGTTAGATGATTATTTAAGATGGCTATGTTAGATGGTTATGTTAGAGGATTATTTAAGATGGCTATATTAGATGGTTATGTTAGATGATTATTTAAGATGGCTTTGTTAGATGGTTATGTACTGAAATATGAACATTTTTTTTAAAAAATGTTTTCCTTTTTAACCATTTAAAGGTTTTCTTTAAAGTTACTTTTATTTGATAAAATAGTTTCTATGGAGCGCATTCTTCAGTGTGTATCGTTGAAGTAGTAGTTATTATATAATCATAATAATAATAATAATAATAATAATAAAGCTTATTTGAAAATCTCGCTTCATCCACAAAGATTCAAAGCGTGGTATAAGGTCATCGATATTAAAAAAGAAATGAAAAAATCCATATTTTGCCACATTGAAATACAAAACGCAACATTTCAAAAACTACATATAAGAACACCCTTTCTAAGTCTTTCATCCCTTGCAACCATAAACAACACATGCCTCTTTACATCAAGGAGATAATAGTTAGCTGGAAAAGATGGTAGACAAATTCACTCCAATAGGTGTTTGCGAAAAAGATACGTTTTCAAATCGGTTTTGAAGGACTTCAGTGTCTGGCTGCTTCTGAGGACGACAGGAAGTGTGTTCCAAATTGTTGGGCCAGCAAATGCGAACGTGCGCCTTCCGTAAGTCTCAAGCCGAACACGCGATTTCGAGAATTTGTCACTTTCGGATGTTCGGAGTTGTCTATTTGGTATACAAGGCGTCATAAGCGCTTTGAGATAGGACGGCGCCAGGTCATGCAAGCAGCGGTAGCACAGAGTTGCAATCTTGTACTCTATGCGATCGTGGACACGCAGCCAATCCAACTCTTTTAGAAGCATGGTCAAATTAGCGTTTGCAAAAGACAATGCGAGCCGCATTATTCTGTACCTTTTGAATTTTATCCAGGAGCGTAGCCGGAAGACCCACCATGAGTGCCTATGTTAGAATGTTTACTAAATGTTGGGCTGTCAGATCAACAAGGGTCACGGTTGAACGGAAACAAAAAAAAATGTATTCAAAAAAGAAATTGTTTTGTTTTTTCTGACATCCTAAATTTCTTGCAGGCATTTACGGACACATTTTCGGGACACATTTGTACGGAATTTCCGTAAATATACGGATTTTTACGACGTTGCACCCAGCACAGAAGAAAGCGATTTCATATTTGAACATTGATTCGTAAGAAAGGAGTGCTTGTTGCTTTTACATTTATTTTTGCATAATCTTTTCTTTTTTTTTTTTTTAAATATAAATACAAGAAAGCGCTTACTTGAAAAGTGTTTCACTTTCTCACGCAATGCAATGTTTGACCCTCTCTAGAAAGGACATGTTTCACTTTCTCACGCAATGCAATGTTTGACCCTCTCTAGAAAGGACATGTTTCACTTTCTCAAGCAATGCAATGTTTGACCCTCTCTTGAAAGGACATGTTTCACTTTCTCAAGCAATGCAATGTTTGACCCTCTCTTGAAAGGACATGTTTCACTTTCTCAAGCAATGCAATGTTTGACCCTCTCTTGAAAGGACATGTTTCACTTTATCACGCAATGCAATGTTTCCCTTTCTAATGCAATATAAGTTTTCACCTCAACATCGACAGTGGCGATTTGAGCCTTTTTCGCAAGATTCGACTGTGGCTCAAAGAATTCGTTTTGCAAGAACCATCTAAGCGGATAATCCTTTTATTTCGTTATTAATAGTGAGACTCTAGCGAAATTTTTAACATTGCGATGAATAACATCGGATTTTGATCACATCATTAAGAATAAGGCCAAAGTAAAACCGAAATCCCTTTGTGATATCAGCCAAGACCTT